TATTTTATTCTACTTTATTTTATTCTACTTTATTTTATTTTCAGATTTTTAACAGTGTGGTGTTAACAGTCTCTATGAGTCTCTTTTAGCCAGTGTTGCACCAGGAAACGTTTCATCCTGCCTTCATCGGGACACATCATCTAATCCTTCCCTATGGAAAAAAAAAAAATCTGCATTATTGTTGGCAGCTACTGGCCTGATGTTGTTATCATTTATTACCATTATAGTATCTAGGGTTTGAGCAGACATCTCTTCCTGAGAGCTTTTCTTCCCCTTGTAGCTTTTGCTCCCTCTCCAGTTTAGCTAAACAGCTGCTTAGCCCTGCTTTCTTCGGGAACTTTTGAGCCCCGCTTACCCTTCGCTTTGGGGCTTTTCGAGTCTTTCTCTGCAGTTTTGGCCTTTAGAATAGCGGGTGAGTGTGTGCGAGGTGCTCGGGCCGCGCTCCGGCTGCGCCGAGCGCCCCGTTTGCTGTCGCCTCCTCCCCGCCGGGGCCGCGGAGCCGCGGCTCGTGTCTGCCGCGGCCGCCTCGTCCTGCGTTTCCCGCTCGCGGCGCCGCGGCCCTCGCGGCGTCTCCTTCGGTGCAGCAGWTAGAGGCACTAAATGCAAACGCGGCTGCTCGAGGAGCGCGAGGGCTCCGGCTCWGCCGCAGCGCCCGCCCCGCGGGGCGGCTGGCGGGATGCGGGATGTGGGATGCGGGATGTGGGAGGGAGGAGGGCGCCGCTTGGCGCTGCTTTGGGGCTCGCTGAGCACCGTGCCTAGGAATTTCAGGTAGTTGTTCGAAGCTGCCGGGCTTCAATGCAGCATTTCCCAGCGTTTCCAATGCTGCTTTCCTGGGTAATCGGCTGCCTGCAGGTTCAACAAGGCAGAGGGAGAGCTGCTTCCAGCGGGAGAGCAGGAGGGGCTCAGTCCTTACTAGGCACTAGAGAATCTACTGGGGAGCCCCACATCACGGCCTGGGCTTTGCAGGCTCCCCTGAGGCCTCCCAAGGCTCCTCAAATCCATAGGGAATGGCCTTTTCCAGGGTATAAAAGCACCGGGATCAGCGCTTGCAGGCATCGCCGTTCCTAGTGCTCGAGCATCCCTGTTCCAAACTCTGCGGCGGCTCCAACGCGGATAAATCCAGGGCAGGTTCCCGAGTGCTGCATTGCTGGC